TGGTCTGTTTGTCTGGTTTGCATCTAATTCCTGGCTGACAAGTGTCCGTTTTTCATGCTCATTCATTAGTCACCCTTGCATTAGCACCACATTGAAGCGCCTGGTCTGCCTCTTATCACATTTCTCAGAAATGATAAAAGATATCCTTATAGTTTTACCCACCCACACATCACAGTAAAAAACCCAGAACAACAAAGAGATAAAATATATTTGATTAAAAAAAAATAATAGGGTTGTTCTTTGCTCTTTCTTAGAAGCTGACAGGTAGAAAAGGAAGGGGGAAATGACTTCCTGTATAATCTATTACCTTTTGCAGACAAAAATCCAACTTCTGAGTGTCTTGTAAGATAAAAATGTGTTAAACATATAATGAAGTAATTTAGCAGTGCATCAAAAATTAGATCTAATGCCCCTTTGTCCAAAAAGCATAGCAATTCAGAAGTAAAGTTAACAACATGGTGTACATTGAGAGTTTGATTTCCCATTATTTTATTTCAATTTTATGTTTATGAAAATTCCCTCATTTCCATGCAGCTCTTTTGCAGCCTTATGTCCTTATCAGAGAGGGTTGTGCAGAGTATTTCAGGAAGGAGTCTTGGAGGGAAGTCTCACCATAAGTATGCTGTAAATGTGCTGCAATATATGCCACAAGAGCCCCCTCTGAATTCACTAGGACTGTGCTTTAGTAAGGAAAATAGTCTGGCTCAAGGTGGCAGACCAGAATTTTATTTGCTGCCTTTGGTTTCTTTTATGAGCACAGCCTTGAAGGGAAGGTAGAGGTGGGGTAAAGCACCTGGTGGGGGTGCAGGCTGTCACCTGAGCCTGGCAGTGACATCCCTCTAGTCAGAGAGCTGGTGAAAGACAGTATGTGCCCTTCAGCACCACTGTCCACTCCAGCTCGTTCCACTATGAGGAATATTACCTGCAGAAGGGGAGGAAGAGTATTGCTAACACCAGCAATATAGGATTATTCTACATTACCAAACTAATAATGGAAAGAAAGTGCAGCTGCCTTTCTCTCTTGTCCCCCCAATGGAGGGTAAGGGAATGTGCTCTCTCAGCATCTCAGTAACAGGGCTGCTGCCCACTTGAGACTTTAATAATGCACACTGCCTCTTCACAGGCAGAGAGGTCCTGATCCAGAATGGATCAAATGTTTTATTGATTTGCTTTTCCAGGTATATTTTTTGAAGATTATTAAAGCTTCTTTGGGATGTATTTTATTAGTCTCTTACCATTCTCTGGGAAAATGAATCCCTTCTGTCCCCGCTCACAAGCAATTGTAACTTATATGACACGTTGAGAAACTGAAAAGTGTTATTGAAAATACTCTGCTTGGGAAAGATCCAAAGTCCCTCAGTACATTAGCAAGCTCACCCACTCCCAGCTGACAGTTTCTGTGATGACTATAATTGTTAAATGGCAAAGGAAGCTGAAGATTGGAGAATTAGAAGGATGTCATTGTTACCCACAGAAATCATAGTAAGGGCCATAGAGAAAAAGCAGTCATTTCCAAACCCAGTGCTGTCCAAGCAGGGTGTTTCATGATAGTTACAGCAGATGAGAAAGATGTTTGTCCAGGCCCTTGGCTTTGTCACCACTTAAAAACTCATCTCGTGTATGTCACAATGAGCCAACCTTGAGCTTGGTTAAGTCAACTAACCATAAGTGCCCTGCACTGTTACCATCTGGAGCCATTTGTAGGTGACATGGCTGCTGTGGGAGGTGATGGGATAAAGCTGTGAACACGTGGGAGGGAGCCAACAGGATATAAGAGCTCCCAGTCTTGTAAATACACAATTATGTACCTTTACCCCTGCCAAATTAGTATAATAGTACTATTTAATTACTCAATAGTATCTAATGGCTCCTTTGAGAACATTACTGCCTATTATGTCAAAGGCTCTACTTAGTGTATTTTTAGTTTGTGGATCATTGAAATGCTTGAACCCAACAGTGCCATTAGAGCATCCTCCCACAGTGAGGCCCTGTGGGTGGGGCAGCCAGGAGAGCAGAGAGTTCATCTCGCCTGCAGCAGCACCACTGCAACTGTTCCCAGGGAAAAGGGGCTCTTCATACCCAGCCATTCCAGCTCTTGGTGACAAAGATTTTAAAGGAGGATTTTTTTTACTGTTATTACACGTTTCTAGATCAATGCTATTTACTTTTGCATGCACTAAAACTTGGGGATTTTTCTAAAGGCAAGTGCTTTGTGGGAGAGGTGATTATTGTGCATGTGAGGCAATGTAGAACTAGAGCTCTGTTAAATATTTCAGATAGGTAGGTAGGACAGTAAATCAACATGTCAAGAAAAATATTCAGATTATTATCTAATCTTCCTCTACTGTCTTCAGCCTGAACACCTGAAAGCTATTATTAATATGCTATTTAATACTGTGCTTATATGCTTCTATTACTATTGCAGTAACTTTCTCATTTTCCCTCAAGCATGATATTAGAGCACAATAATTGCAGTGTGCTTGTGTGTGTACCTGCTAAATGCACTAAGGTGTACCTGATGTAGAAGTAATCCTTTTCTTCTGAAGATATCTGTGAAACTAGCAATAATATGATCTTATGGGTACTGCTAGCAATATAGCCCCAGCTGTTTGCTGATTTGAAGCAAACTACATTATCCTGACATTATTTGTGCCCAGGATACCAATCAAGCCCACAGGATGGATGAGGAGCCTGGGCCCAAAGAAGAATGTGTGCTTCCCAAGAAACCTACCAGCTCCTGAAAGCACTGTTGAAAGAGCTGTTCATTTCAATGTTTAACATGCAGAACTGCAGCAAGCCAAAACTCAGAATTTTGCCCTTGGAATGACTCCCACCCATGGGCACCTGGAGGGTTTAAGATTTACTCAAATGGAGCCAAATAACCCAGATATCCACTGAGTGGCCTGTCAGAGAGGATGGGATGAAGCTGCTGCTGCTGGCAACTCATTGGGAGGTCTGTAGAGACATCAGACACTTGCTGTGATTGCTGTCCCATGAACAAGCCTCACTGGCTTGGAATAACTCCAGTGTGACAGGGATGCTGACAGGCACAGCCTGGTAAAACTTACCATGTCACCCTAAGAAACGTTCATGTCCAGATTTTTGCTCCTCCTCTTTGCCCTAAGTTATCTGGTGTTTTAGGGTAAAGCCCCCTTCAGCAAGAGCTGAGGTTGGAATGGTGGATGGGGTTTGTAGTGAGGTGTAGCTGTGACATTGGCATGAGCCTCCTTTTGACAGGAGGTAATCCCAACCAAACACAGAGCTGGAGGCAGCAATTTCTTACATTGCTGCAGTAGGGTGTACCAAAGCTTATATTTGGTGCCTTAGACTGTGGCCATAAATCTTGTCCCATCAGAGGGGCTCTCAGTGTCCTGCCCTGTGTGCCAGAGGGAGCAAGAATGCTTCTGGTGGGAAAGAAAGTATGGGGCTGCTTCTCTCATGCCTGTGGTACAGAGGAAGGACTGAGATTCCTCAGTTTCACTGGGTAAATGCTTGGATGTCAGAAGTTTGCCACTATATTGAGTTAAAAATGAGCATCTCCAGCTGTGACAGAGCTTTCTCATGGTACCATTAAACTGATACTGAATTTCAAGTAGCTGAACAATCATGTTTTCCCTATATAGGATAAGAGAGGTCTCATGACATTTAAAGTTTCAGAGTATCAGAGGAGCTGATTTCGGTGGCAGCCACCCCATCTCCTTTTCCATCTCTGCATTTGCCAGCCCCAGGTTTTGCCTTTTGGTAGCACTGATGCAGTTCTTTATGGATCAAATCTTAAGCAGGTCTTAGAGGTAATCTAGGAAAAAAATAACTCTTTGCATGGTTTATTTGTAAACCAGTTCAATTCAGTGATCTGTTTTCCAGCCCAGTCATAGGTTATGGCTTCCAAATATGAAATATCTGGCTTTTAAATTGTTCCCATATGACTTTGTCTTGTTGCCAATATGACACAAATATTTGTGCAATCTCACTGTGAGCTGATGTACAGAAATAGTTTGACTTTAGAACAAGAAGTAAAACAAAAATAACTGAGTTGTAAAGTTTTTGAAGTCAGGCCAGGTCTTTGATGTGACTTTGAGCATGGCTTCACATCCATTTGCAGAAGGAACTGGCAGCAGGGAGAAATATCCCCAGTAGCTACTGGGGCTGAACGCTCAGCTCTCCAAAGCCACATCCTCCCTGGCACAGAGGAGAGGGTGGCAGTCCATGGCAGAAACATAGGGATAGTGATAAGGAGGGAACTTCTTATGTCCATTTTACCATCAGTGCAAAGATGTTACAGAAGAGTACAAAAAGGCCAGACTTTGCAGCTGTCCAGTACAATGAACTGGTCTGATCTTTGGAAGTACATTTGATGTCCTGTCAGTCTGCCACATTTCTGTGGTGCTGTGGAGGGATCCAAACATGGTTCAACTCCTTGAAGTGACTTTTTATTATTATCATTATTATTACTACGTTGTTATTATTATTAATAATAATAACTTAGTGCCACAGGGATAATGATCAGGTGTAGACAAATTGGCTAAAGCTATAGAGTTCATGCTTATGAGCTAAAAGTACATTAAATCACAGCATGAGCACTTTCATCTATGAGTTTAAGGCAACTCAGTTTATATGCTGTAGTTTTACAGATTTATTTAGTTTTCCATAACTTTCTTTAGTACTTCACTGGTATAGTTTATCAAACAAAAATTATTTGAAAAAGGGACTTGTTTCACTTTTTGTTCTGTGTCTGGACATAACCCTCCACAGGAAGCCTTGGTTGCTCACTGGGTTCACACGCTGTACCACAACATAAGTATTAAACCCACAATGAAATCTTTGCTTAATGTTGGAATAAAGTGAAAACATGACCCAGACTTTTTTTAATGCTTTATTTTACAGGGAGCAGAACTGCTGTTTTCTTTGTCTCTTGCATTTATCCAGTATGGTAATCAAATATAATATAAATGAATGTCTGATAATAATGTTAATTATTTTATTTTCATCTCCCTTCTCAGATCTCCGGAAAACTTTCGAGCAGGAGCCCTTAGGGAAAGAAGTGTCCCTGGAGCAAGAGGTCCTGCTCCAGTGCCGTCCCCCTGAAGGCATCCCAGTGGCTGAGGTGAGCAACAGCAGCAGGGTCTGGCACTGGGACATCCTCAGTAAGGCCTGATGGGTGGCTAATGGTGCAGTGACTTACAGCAGGGCGTGATGAATGGGTGCTGATGGAAAGCTGACTGACTGCTGCTCATAGACAAGATTGATTGGGACCTGATTAATGGCTCTGGGTTGTGGTGCCTTGCTGGGCAGAGCTGCAGGCGGTTCGGTTTCAGTTTTTTTCTTCCCTTTGAAAAATCACAACTATATCTGGCATCCAGAGGACACGTAGCTGGGGGAACATATTAATACCAGCCTGCTATCTTTTGTTTTGCTTTTAAAGAAAAAAAAAATCACTTATTCTGAGGGGCACCTTTCAAACACGTTTTAATTTTTAGTTTACCAGACTATAATCCACTCACATGTGTATGCACCACCCTGCCAACTTGGCACGAGAGGATGTGATACAATACAGGCTCCCAGGTAAAGCAGCACGAGGTTTGGGAAAGTAGAGGATGTATTTGCCTAATAAGCCATCTTCAGGGCCTTAGCTGTTTTTCCTACTGGCTTTTAAGCAAACCCAGAGTGGGTAGCCTGTTCTCCCCCTGCAGGAGCCAGCCTGCCCTTCAGCAGAACCTGTGCCTGACAACAGCAGTGAGCAGCAGCTTCCCTAAGTGCAGCGGTGCCTCCAGCTTCAGACTCCCAGCTCATGGAAGGGGGGTCCCTGAGTCACAGGGAGGCCTCTGAAATCCTAAATCCACTGTGGCTGTTATGAGAAAAATTGATTGCTAATGACGGTAATTCCCCTATCTGAATTCTCTTCGGTTTTCCTCTACCAGGCACAGAAGAAACTGTTGCCAATTTGCATTAGGATAAGTCAGACTGTCATGGCTAAGTAGCAAAGTGGTTGTCACTCAGCGCTCATGGCTGATTTCTCAGGAGATGAAGCTTAAAGTGTTACCTCCCCATCTAACCCAAGTTTAGATTTAATCAGAATTGCAGAAACGTATCCACAAACATCAGAAAGAATAATTAGCACAGAAGATTTTTCCCACTTTCTTGTTCTGTTGGCTGTTTTCTTTCCCCATTAAGATCTCCCAAACTGAAAAGAGTGTTTAGGTCTGCCGAGCCAGCTTGCTGACAACTGTAATATTAATCAGTTGGGTTTCATCAGGAATTTAGGAAAATAAAACCCCGCTGCTTTCTGATGTTTCTTTGCATCAAGTCAGCATCTTGTTGTACCATGACAGGAGTTTTTGCACTGGGATGTGTTATTCAGGCAGGATAGGGTAGTACTGGGGAACTTCATTACATTTGCTAGAAGCAGAGATTAATGCTGGCGGGTAGGTTCGTTTTTGTGCAGTGTTACAGGCAGCTCTGGAATTTCAGCAGCCAGGCCGATTGTTCCCTCAGAAAGGTCTGTTATACCCAGGCGCGTGGCTGAGGCCCAAACTGCATAATTTAACATGATTTGTGGAAAGTGATCGCTGAAAAAATCCTCTGTGAGCTGCTGCCATAGCAGTTGTGCTTTTTCCTGCCTTCCAGTATCCTGCTCGCTCTGTCAATAGCCCTTCATGATGGTGCATTGAGTGACTCTGAATCTTATTTGTACCATGGTCAGGGCAGACACCAATTAACACTTGGCAGGCTCAGAAATCTTATACTCCCTATCTGACATTCAAAAGAACCATTCTCAATGTGGGTTTTTTTCCTCTTCTGACTTTTGAAGTCAGAAAGAGATCAAACACCCAGATTGGACAGCCGCCTAATACAGCCTCTTTGTAGATTCTTTCCAACACTATTAAAAGAACAAAGACCTGAACACTAATGAATATGAATACCTTAATGTGACACTTTATTACAGCCACTTGCTGAAGCTAGTAAGATAAATTTAAGAAAAAAAAAAAAAGGAGAGATGAAAGATAACTTGGTGGGTTGAAGGATTACATGATTATTTTAATTTAAAGATGAATGAGTTCTTTGTTTAAGACTTCATTTATTTGTTTGGAGAAGTTTCTGATGTGATGGTACAGGTAACTATTAGAAGGGCTTAGGAGAAGGCAGGCAGCAGACTGTGGCTGTTTTCTATCTTGTTGAAACACTGCTTTGATTCCAAGTGGAGTAGGGTAATGCCTATGCTGCAGCTGTGAGCAGCATTTCCAAATGCTTTGGTGAGCATGTGCTTTAGATTCTTCACACTCTGGAAACTGTGTTTTGTTTAGGATTTTTTTCTTACTGGTTTCTGAAGGAGCCACTGTGTTTAACACCAAAACAGATGAAGAGAAGCTTACACTGTGAGACAGTACAAAATGCAGTCTAATGTGTGCAGTGCTGGAGTCCAGAGTCCCAATGTCTTTTACTTGCTTTTTCTCTTTGATTCTATTCTCCCCCTTCATTCTCTGTTGGGTGTTTAGTTTGTTTTTCTTTTTTTCCTGGTATTTCAAAGTGGTGAGAACAGGCATGCTCAGGGATAAATTCTGTCCTCTTTTCAGTATCTGGGGAATTCAGGCTTATCATTCCCAGCATATTTAATTGCAATTAACTGTGTCAAGCTCTTATGGATCAATGCTAGAGCAGATCTTAGGAGTACTGAAAAGCTGAACCTCACAGCAACATACAGCTTCCTCAGAGGGCAAGAAGGACAAAGACAGAGATGGGCAGGCAAAGCTTTTAAAGCAACACTTACCAGTCCCTCAGATCCACTAGTACATGACAAGCATTAAAGCAGGCTCAGGTCATGGGCACTATGAAAAAAAAAGAAAAAGTCAAAATCCAAATACAAACAGATGTGTTAAAATACACCAGCCTCAGGGTCTGAGGTCAAATCAAAGTGCATCTCCTTGTTCACTTGGGACAACGTAAGGAACTAAGGGTTTCCATGGTCTCTGGAAAAACAGAGATATAAACAGAGATAACAGAAATATCATCTCCTGTGCTGTCATACACCCCTGCCCACCAGCCCCAACCAGCGTGGGTGTCAGCTGCACCCTGGTATCCCTCCCCACTCCCAGGTTTATGGCCATATCAAGCTGAACAAAGCTACAGGTTCTGAACCACCCAGGTAAAAACAGTTTGGGCTGTTCCAGTGCATGGCCCAGGCAAGCAGCAGAAGGACCAGCACAGGTGCTGCTACACTGAGGTTTGCACACATAGCTGAGGGGGGAAGGGGCAAGCTCACATGTTCCTCCTGTGACAAAAAGAGAAAAAAATGAGTGGACATAGAAACAAACAGCACCCTGCCCTAGCTCTATGCTTTTCTGCCTTCTGCTTTCCCCCAATGGGGAGAAGTAGGGTGAGGTGGTGAGATCAGCAGTGTGACCTGCCAGCCTTGTGCTCAGTGGAAATCAGACAGTAGCAGCTCCCCAGCATGAACAGAAACATCCATTTCAGTTCCACTCTGCTCTCTGTGTGTGATTTTCTAAACCTAATCTGAGAAGGCAGGAAGGATCCCATTCTGTGATGCTCCAACAGTAATGGCTGAGTTGTTAGCAATTAACCCCTTAGCTCATTTAACTTGTTCTTTGAAAGACACCGGTATCGTATTGCACATGATAAAATATAGTTAGAGACACTGAGTCACATCAAATTAGCTCATTTGGGTAGGTTATAGATCAAAACACAAATGAGATGTAAGATTGGTTAATATGCCATAAGCTGCCAGATGAACTTTTGCATTGAAATGTATGATTTGTGGAGCCTTTAACAGGGGGATAATTGCTTCTTTAATTTTAATTGAGGTGTTTCACACAGTAATTTAATTGCAGAACAGGGTGTAGTGTACAGTTTGGTGACCCAGTTGGGTTTAAAACTGTGGGTGATATTTATCCACATTCGTGGCTTTAATTAGGAGCTAGAGTAAGGGGGAAAGGATCACTGAGTCAAGAGGCAGAAGAGAGTGTTTTGCCGAGTCAAGATGACTGTGACACAAACTTTTTTCAGCTGCTCTTGCCCAGGCAAAGGCTGGTGGAAGCTAGGGACTTCTACAAATAGGCAGCTTCATCTAATTGATTATTAATATGACTGCTGTTTGTGTTACTTCCTGAGAGCCTCTTATTTTTTGCAGTAGTTATCCCTTAATTGGGAGTTCATGTGTGTGCATTTCCATGCAGGTGTGTGTTACTGAGACAGTGTTTTATATTCACAGCAGGAAAACCAGCTCCAGGAGAGACAAGTAGAAGAGTTTGTGGCCACAAATGCTAATTGCTGAAAAGTTGCACTGTCCTTTGCAGTGCCTTGTGACATACAGAAGAACTGCCTTTGGGTGTCAGTGAGAGGAAGAGTGGGGAGGGGGAGGCAGATTTGTGTAAAGGAGGAGCACAGCCCAAAATGAATGAGGGCTGCTCATCCTTTGCTTTGGAGAGGCATTGGGTAAGGTCTGGCCATGCAGGCCTGTCCTCAAAAAGTACAGGATAAAGCACCCTGCAATTGTCAGCACCTGGCCCTACATTTCTATCTCTCTTAACATACATTTTACCCCCCAGCCTACTGGTGGGTAGTCGAGTCACTCTTGCAAAGTGTGAGACATAGGTTACAACCTCCTGCTTGAAGAACAGGAGGAGCAGGATTGCAGTTGGATTTGTGCTTTCCTGGGAAGTACCCTGACTACTAGATTATTAGATAGCCTTGTTTTTAACATTTCCTACCAGTTCATTTCCACAGTACAGAAACCCATGCCAAGGAGCAAAGGTCTTCTGGCAGAACTGCTCTTTTGGAGACCTGACTTTTCCATGGGCCATACCCCTGTACTTTTCCTTTCTAGTCCAGTTCCACTGATGCCAGTGTAAGTGAGGGCAGAGCATGCTCCAAAGTGAATCCAGTTGCTGTATAATTCAGTTCAGGAAGGGATTATCTGTGGGATTGGAGAGCAGTCAGATTTCTAGTACCTCTATGAAATACTACAATGGGAGATTTTCTACAAGAACTCTGACCCGAACCCTGATAGCTTATCTTCTTCTGTGGCAAAGACAGCTCTGGGATTCTGGTTTAGCTAACACAACCTATCTGTCCATATGCCCTCATGGTGCC